TAGCAATGGTGAGAAGAAAGGGGACTTTAGCAGAAGAAGTGTGCAAGGAATTGTTATGTTGGAGAGGCTTGTGGGATTGCATGGTGGATGAGCTTGTGGACAAAGACATGAGCAACCCCTATGGCAGATGGCTGGACTTTGAAACCGATGCATTTGAGCTAGGAGTAGAGGTTGAGGGTCAAATATTTCATTCTTTGGTAGATGAAGTGGTTGCTGATATCCTGGAATTGTAATGCCTGAAACATGTCTATATATCAGCTCCACCTAAAATTCTCGTGCAGATGATCTTGTAGTATTTGGATACTTGTTAGTGTTCAAGTTATTGGTTTATTTATTGCATTTGATTCATCAAGCTTTGTGATTCAAACTAAGCAATTGCCATGTTGTTCTCATCAAGTTGAGCTTCCATGTATGTTGTGTGTGGAAACAATTAAGTTGGCGTACCCCTCTTGGTGTGTTTGAACTGTGAACTTAAGATCGAGATATGTGATTGTAAGTTTGATCATATCTCGAAAATCCAATGGCAAAAAGAGTTTCCGCAGTCGCAGGAAGATCTCCGGATGTTTATTTTTTCCTTCAATCATATATGAAGTTGAGCAAAAGATAGTGACTTGTAATAATAACAAGGAGCTGTGTCCTTTGGAGCAAATTAGAAGTGATGTGGATGGGCTGTTATTATAACAAGTTGGTCACAAGAATAGACAAGTAAAGCAATATGGATGGTTAGTATGGAACAATCATATTTAACAAAGAGCATTCTTCTTCTTCTCATAATGGCAAAGTTGGTAAGCTTTTAAGATGGACAAAAAACATAAAATTGATCTGAAATTTCTCTCGAAGTGGGGGTTGGTCTCTCCAAGTATACGACGACAAAGTGGAAGGTGGCACCAGCTAAATTATTCCATCAAAGAGATGAGGACAAAAGCATTATTATATGTATGCATGCCTATATATTATATAATTGACAGTGTGTGAACTATAGGGACACTCTGAAACCACCCACAGAAGTTTATGAAGAACTGGAAAACTCAATTATCCAAATAGTAAACAAGACTATAATCTTATTATTGCAAATGATTCCAGCATTTTTGTTTTTGACAGTTTTTGAAAGTAACTTCTGACTCAACTCACCTTGAACATTTGAATAATGATTCTTGTACAATCTTTCTTTTCTTATGCACAAAATCAACTTCCAGAACAATTTTGTATAAAGATAGTTTGTGGAAGAATCAAGATTCAGACATAAAATTTTGCTGTCCACTTTTTTGTATCAGCAACATTAGTGTCCTTCACCAGTACTTCCACTTTCCCATAACCAAGCTATCCTCTCCTCTTCATCCCAGAATGCCAATTCATTGTGACACTCAAAGCCACCCGCCCAACCCCAACTGAGCCATTCATCATCAAAGGCTGAATTCAATGATGATGAGAAAGAGTTCCAATCTACACCTCCACTTTCTGCATTTGAGCTCCAGAGACTTGTACTCTCCCTACCCTCACTCTTGGTCACTTCATCTGTAATATTACCCTCCATGATGATCCCATCTTCCCTCTGCTCCTTAAATCCAACATTCCCACTTGGATCCACAACCCCACTTTCCAGCCCCATAATTTCACTTTCTACACATTCACATGGACCCAAGACCTCCTTTTCTCCATTATTATCTCCACTTAAAACAGTTGAACTAGTAATGTTTACTTTATTCCCAAGGCATAATTCTGCACCCTTTTTCTGATCACCACAATGGTCCAAATTAATCCTTTCTGTACTGTCCAAACAAGAACCTTTCAAACCCCACATTCTTATTGCCTCATCTCCTTTCTGGTTTTCCCTGGCTGATGGCTCAAGTTGAAGCACTACATGATCAGCAATATTGGTACCACTCTGCTGAGGCTTTGCTTGTGATCTTTGGGGAGATGGGGACAATACATTCTTGTTCTTGTTCATGATAGATGATCTGTTTGCTCGAGCAGCAGCTCTACGGTCCTTGAATGAAGCAGCTGTCTTCTTCCCAACATTCGTAATGGTGGGCAGATAATCGTTTCCCAGATTGGTAAAGGTGTAAATTTTTCTACTCAAATGAGAGTTCCAGTAGTTCTTTATCTCGTTGTCTGTTCTTCCTGGTAAATGAGCGGCTATGAATGACCACCTGCAACAGTTTGCTCAAATTTTAGTAATATAATGATCCAATTGAATTATATCTCAATATGTAACAACTACTTGATCATTGGTTTCTTTTCTTGAATAGTTAAAAAGGAGGAAGTGAGCATTACAAATTTGACTCAGCATTTTATTCAATAATATCCAATGGCCAGAAGTACCAGTGCCTGTGATTTTCGCAATCACAAGATCCTATAAATATAGCAATGTGGTCTCCAGTTCATAGTTTAACGACACAAACATGCTATGTGGCCGGACTGCCCCAAGAAAAGAAAAAAACATAATGCTTCTTTGAGCTCCTCTCGGTTGTGTTCCTAAGGAGGAGGGATCCCAAAAAGAAATTAAGAATTTGATTAACATCCCTCAAATATAAATCCTTTTCGACATCGGCAATATCACAGTGCGGCCATAATCAAGTAATTAATCAAATCAATGTTAGCAGAATTGTAGATCGATGGACATTGATAACAGTTGTCCCAATTAACACAAATATTAGAGTCTCTAGAGAGCTTGAATCCAGCTTAGCATAACCAAGTTGAAAAATGGTTCTATAAGTATCAGGCTGCCGGATCTCTCCCGTTCAAAGAAGGGATCTCAATAAAATTAGAACTCACAAACTAAGAACGAATTGAGGATGGTTACATTCATATTTTCTGAGCATAGATATATTATACAGAAAAAAAACCTGGCCAAAGAGAGCTATATAAAAAGATAATTATATAATTAAAAAATGAATACCTATTACCCAAAGCAGTGTGTAACTTAACAATGGTTTCTTCCTCCTCAGCAGTGATGTTCCCTCTCTTCAAGTCAGCCCTCAGATAATTTGTCCACCTCAGTCTGCAACTCTTCCCACACCTTAGCAATCCTTCATATCCCACACAAACACATTGAGTTGTGTATATTTACAACCAAATGAAGACACATTGGGAATAATGTATAAAGGATCCCTTATTGTAAAAATCTTTCAAGCATAGATAGCTACTATATATATATATATATGAATATTTAGACCTGCATTAATGGGTAAAGATCTCCAAGAGCCTTCTCCATGAAGTTGAATGTAGTTGGTCAAGATTTCGTCTTCTTCAGCTGTCCATCTTCCTCTTTTGAGCCCAAGTTTCTCACAGCATGGTGCTCTTCCCATCTCTCTATGAGAATTGAAAGAGAGGCATGGCACATATACAGCAGTTATAGTTGTGCGCGTGACGCTTCTCTCGTGTAGTATTAAATATTAATAATATTAATCTTTGCATAGCATAGGAGGAGTTAATGTAGACGTACGTGCGGTGGCTAAGTGTTCTTCGTGTCCTCACTCGGTTGATTTGTCGGGCCACAAGTACTAGTTAATTAGTGATCAAACTCTATGCTTAAGGAGAAAAGCTAATGTAGGGCCTAACCCGTTTCCGGCAGTGCTGAGTGGTACAACATTTCAGTCGTTTCCGCAGTGCTAATGGTACAACATTTTAGGTATTTCCTGCAGTTCTGAGTACCTACAGGATTTAAGTAGGCTCATCAAAACTTAGACTTTGATTTGAGATGTGAAAAAATAAAATAAAATAAAAATGCTTTAAATTTAGTATATGCACAATGATAAAGACGTTGCCCCTAAAGGAGGGTGGGATAAAAAAAATCCCACACAATTCATTCAATTGTTCATAGCCTTGTAGCCGATATGAAGCACACACGCACAGGCCCTTCATTTTCTCTTCCAACTTTGTAGCTAGCAGACCCTTGGAAGCTAAAAGAAAATGCCGTCTAGAATACTTTTTGACAATTTCAGTGGTCCAATACATTATTATTTATTGCATAGGTTTGGCCAAACAATGGATCCCTATATATAATTATATATACACATGCTTAGCTTGCTGGATACTTGTAGGTTTATTTCTTCTTCTTCTTTATATTTCTAACCCAAGAAAACACAAAACGCAGCATGCATGTACGTTCACCATAGAGTTTTCAAGGCTTGGTTTGGTCTTATTTATATTTTCTGACCCCATGCATGAAAAGACTCATGATTTTTTTGCCCTATGCTCTGGAAATGTGTAGAGATAGAGGCTTAGAGGCTTTAGGCCGTTTTCACAGATTTGGGGTAGAGATTTAACTGTGACAGCTAACCTAATAAATAGGATTTTTGTGCTTTGGCAAATGGCAAGGTTGAATCTCAACACATTAATAGATTTTAGGGACCATCACCTCAGAATGTCAATGTCATTCGTAGCAAAAATTAAATTGGATCACATGCACTGTTGATCAATATTCAAGCAGGCACAGCCATTAAAGTTACCATTTATCAGTCTCAAATTTCTTCTTCTTCAAAGTTAAAAAAATATATGAGCTCATTTTCCATAACCGTTCCCGTTGCGATTTAACTGAGGGAGAGGAAGGAGATGGTCCACCAGCAACCCTATCATAGTATAGTAATAAGTAATTGTCCTTCATGCTACATTTTCAGTCTGTCCAGAATTATAATTTTTTGGGTCAACGAACTGGCCAGAATTGTAGAGTTAGAACCCAAATTGAAGAGTTAGAATCCAAATTCTCATTGAATGATAAAAGATGAGATACGTTCTACCAGTGAAGCTCTGGCTCTGGCTCGGTTCTTGAAGGATAATCAATCCTTCTCCGTTAATGCTAACGGTACTCTTCTATTTATTTTAAAATAATACAAGCGATGTTTAAATTAATCTAATTTACGAGAAGTGGGATTCAAACTGGGGTGCAAGGAGATGGACTCAATGCCTTGACCAACTGGTCTAACTCAGTTCAAGGATAATATATTTACTGATCAAGTCTCACTGTAATAAATAACCATGACCCATAGATGGCCAGCTGGTGACTAAAATGAGTATGCCTATATTTCCATCAGATAGAGACCACTTGAATTTACAATATCGGTGTTGGATGAAGAGATAATTACTGTTGTGTTTTACATATTTACCAAAGTTAATCTCAACTGGGCGTCACTTAAGGGGACAAAATCCAAAATTCTTACCGCAGATCGACAACATCGATCCTTAAGTTGGAGTTTATAAAGACATGAGAACAATGCTCGTAAATTGGGGTTCCATCCAAAGGCTCTTCATGGGGATGAAACCCACGCTGGTCACAATTTCGAATTACTGATACACCACCTGGGTCCGATAGATGGAATATGCCGTGAGGACTGCAATTACATGGGAGACAAGTTAGCATGCTGATTAATTTATATCTCAAATAATACATTATCAATTGATTTTCATCAAAAGTTAAAGAAAAAGAAAAAATAATAAAAACCCTACCTGGATGTATCTGTTGGAGCCATAACGATCGCTATTGCTTCTGGTAACATAATCTGAAAAAAATGAAGAAAAAAAAACATAGCAACCGTATTATATAGAGTGCAATAGAACCTTGGAGAAATAGAACAAATAAGCAAAGGATATTTTAGTCTAGAATTGGACTGAAAAAAAGTGACATTGCACTTTACCTGATATGAGTAATGAGTATGCAGATCAACTGATGACATGAAACAGGTCTGCGATGGGTGTGTCTGGCACATCACACAGATATGAAATGAAAATAATGATTACATGTACAAGAACAAGAATAACAAACAATTAATGCCCACTAAGGCTATTGAGACACTTACATGAATCCACCCAAGAGAAAAAAGAGATAATCTGTCTTGAACCTCAAATACTTCTTCCTCATTCAATGTTTGACACTGAGCGCAAAACGGAGATCAATATTGTCAATGGAAAATAGACAAAAGCACTCTAAAACAATGCATGTGTAAAATTGAGAGATGACAGTCAAAATACTCAAGACACTGAGCTTAGATAAAAATGCTTCTTGGATTCCAAATAATAACATATTAGTAAAAATCTAATGATGTCATCATCAAAAGAAAAATTGGGATATAAGCCATAATCAACCTTAAAACAGCATATGGAAAGGCAATTCATAAGTTAGCATGCGATTTATCCTACCGAATCAGAGGTTGACTCTTGCTTTGGGACTATTAGCGTGGTGATATGGAAAACCTTATTTTTCTGCAGCCACAAGAAACTGAAAGGATAAGAACCAAAAGCATCAACTTATTTTAATTTTCTCATAAAAGAGTGTTATTTTCTCACCAATGAACCAGCAAGAATACCGCACGTCTCTAAATTTTTTTCTGTATTCGTCCTAGCCAATCTCAAGAAATCATCCATCAATTTTACTGGCTGCAAGGTAAATTAAATGACACTGACATCACATTCAAAATAATATGAGGCATTCAACATTAGAAGCGACAAAAAGAATTCCTTAAGATTGTAAATCAACAAGAGAAAGATCAAGTATTACTTTATACAAGAAGGCTCAGCATAGGAAGCTTACAACGTGTAAATGTTGATATGAATTAGAACTTGGCATCCCATCCACAGAAGGTTTGGCAGGTCCTGGTCTTGGATCTGCCACTTTTGATGGAGAAATTGGAGTATATTCTGGCTGCACTCGAGCAAGTACAGGAGGAGGAGAAGGCTGATTGATGACCAATTCGAAAGGATCTTCCCTTATTTCATTAATCAATGAAGGACCAAATTCCTGAGCAGGGCGTGGCCATACACCATCATCCAAGGAGAGCACCGACTCCATTGTAGATTTAATTCCTCCTTGATCACCATCTTTTACAGCCACAATATCATTTTGTACAACCTGATTCAGGCTATTACCATGGATGACACAAAACTGAGTATGTTAGAAACGCCAAAATTACTAGGGAAATTCTTCAAAGAAGATCAAGCAGACGTTTTCAACTGAAGAATGTCAAGCAACCTATGATCTTTAAATTTATACTGAGAAAGAAGCAAAACATGGAAATAGATATGTGGAAAAGAAGCACAGTTAAAAGGTTTAGACAAGACATGTGAAGTATTGCAGGAAGAACTCACCCTGAATTTTCAGTAGGGATTAGGTCGGTACTGCTTGGATATTGAACCTGCATAGTAGATAGGTTAATGGTATTTTACAAGGTCAGAAATAATAAATTTTTTGAAACCACACTCTTGAAAATTTACCTTAACCTTTGCAGTGGGTCCTAGCCACTGGCCCTGAAGACCATTTGGACCCAAAAATGAGTGTCTAGACAAAGTCTCTTTATTCGGAAGAGGTATATTAAGAGATCTGAAAATTCAAGGAATTGTTGTCATGATTCCCATATCTCAAATCTACAAATTATGGGTATCAGTATACTTTATACGGCCAGAAGAAATTTACTCACAGCTTTTGGAACTGCTTGTCAATTTGTGAAGTATTTGTTGATACCCGTGAATAATCATTATTATACTTCCATGAAGACTGAGATGTCAAGCTAGAAGGCTGCACATGAAAAGAACAAATCAATTCAGTATTTTCATAGTCTCCAACAAACTTCAAATAAACAAGAAATATTACACGGAGACACAACAAGATTATGACAAATCATCTTAAGTGCTTTACAACCCAAATGAATCAATGACCAAAATGAGGACCAACCAAACCAATCCCATAGTATCAACGGAGCATTCAGTACCTGCCTAATGTTTATGCTCAATGAATTATTGTTCACAGGAGGCCATTCTAAAGAAGGTGTTCCCAAACCATATGAAGTGCCTTCTAGGCATTCAAGTTGAGGTAGTTGAGAAACTGCTTGGGCCTCGTTAAGTTTGTTGACTAGGCGTTGGGCTTCTGGCTTTAAAGATTCAAGCTCATCTAGTACATTTAAGAGTTTCTGCAATGATGATACGAAAGCCAAGTCAGAATAGGTTCTTGTATATTAAACATGCGAGAAATAGTAACTTCCTAAAAGGATTAGCATAGTTTACCTTCCTATACATACTTCTCTCTTTAGGAGGAAATGTCTGGTAGTCTCGATGACACGGTATAGTTTCAGACACCAAACTGTAAAATGTTAACAATAAGGTTCCACAACTAAAATTTTTTGCATGCTATCAATTCTATAACATGGAAAATCATCTAATGACCTTTTCAACGTACCTTGAAAATCGGAGAAGTATGACATACAAATCTACAATGTTTTTCTCCTCCCGGTATATACTAGCCTGAGCATTCGAGAAGTATATTTAGGTAAGAAAGAAAACCAGAAAATTTAAACACAACATTAGCTGCAGGATGCTCGTACAATGACTACCCTAATACATACCATTACCATATAACCTAATTAGTTACGAATGAATTAGGAATGAACAGAAAATTACTTCTTTTTGCTCACTATCCCAATTGAAATCACAAAACCTATTTCTTTCCAAATTGCATACAGAACTCAGCTTCAATGTGAAATTCAGGTTCAAAATTCAGGGTAAATGGGGAGTCTTAGAACTAAAAAAACCCTTAAATAGTTGATTTCAATAAAAGTGCATCATTTGACACCCTAATGAAGTTCTCCGAAGGTAAATTAGCGTTTCACGATCAAATTAAACTTCAATTACTCTAAAATTTATTACAAACAAAGCGACATAGAATCAAGAGAAAAAATGGAACCTGTTTGAGGAGATTATCGGCGATTCGAAAGTAAAATCGGAGAGGGTAGCGATTATCGATCTCAACTTTCCGAGCCATTGAATTGATGTTGATCTTCATCTTCTCCGGTGACGAATGCCAGCAACTCTCACGGTATCGCGCACAGAGTTTCAGCGAGGGAAAGGGAGGATCAATGTTCTGAGCGTATGCGTCAAGTCAAAACTCGGTCGTTTTGGATGGAGAAGCTTTTTGTTTGTCTATGTCGACATGGTGAGGTTACTTACTGAGGTACAAAAAAAAGTCGGTTGACCAACAAAAAAAAAATGTAACATAAAAGTTTGGACAAACTACAGTAAATTCCCCAACCTATAAAGTCATCTACGAGTTCATACCCGATTTTGGGAACATTTAATAGTACATACTCAACGACACAAATACCTCAAATCCCACACAAACTCAAAACTAACTTCAAAAACACATATTAATGAAAGAAATTTAAAATTTAGAGAGAATATACCTTTTGGCAAGATTGAGAGTGAGTGAGAATGAGAGAGAGAAGTGAGCGTGAGAGAATTAGAGAAGATAGTGATAGAGAGATGAGAGATTAAGTGAGAGGAGTGAGTGTGAGAGAAAGGGTGGGATTTGGAGAGAGGGAAAGAGAGAGGAGAGGAAAGAGTAGAGAAAGACATTGAGAAAATGGTGGAGGAGTTATTTTGGTTTTAAAAGCCGTATCACTTTGCGCAACGAAAAATATTGTTGGTCACGCAAAGTTTTACGTGACAAAAAATATTGGAATATTTGTCACGCAAAGTCTAAAAAAAATTATAAACAAAAACAAAAACAAATTCCGGCGTCCAATTTTTGGTACCCGCCCAAATTTTTAAATTTTTGAGTACCCGTGCAAAGTCTAAAAAAATTATATAAAAAAATTCCCGCGTCCCATTTTTGGTACCCGCCCAAATTTTTGCTCGACGAAAAATATATATTGGTCGCGCAAAATTTTGAGCTACAAAAATTATTGGTCACGCAAAGTCTAAATTTTTTTTAAAAAAAATTTATAATCCCGCGTCCCAGTTTTGGTATCCACCCAAATTTTTAGAGTTTTGCGTGACGAATTGTTGGTCACACAAACTTTTAAGAGACAAAAAATTGGTTCGTAGCACAATATTTATAAAAATAATTATTATGAATAATAAAAAATAAAATAATTTTATTTTACGATTTAAAATATAAATAAAGTTAAAGTACTTAATAAATATATATACTATTCAATTTCTTAAGTGTTATACGTACAAAATAAATAAATTTAAAGCTACTTAATAAATATATATATATATATATACACACACCATTCAACGATCCAACCATCAAAATTGTTTGTATATACTTCAAGATCGTATACCCCAAAAATCGCAAAAAACAAACATTCAGAGATCTAGTAACAGGACAAAACTTTTTGATAGTTATAAATGAAAAATCACGATTTAACGATTATTTTAACTCCGATTTTGATTTTTTTTTACAGCTACACTCCTTGACCCTATATGAATACAATGACTGAATTTGATCTTTAATTTAAAATATTTACACTAGTGGATACTACAAAATCTTATGTTATATTTAACGAAATTATAAATAAACTCTTAATTGTTAGTGAATATATTGTTTTGATGGCATACGCATTCTACGAAACTAGTTTCAACTATCTAACCGTCAAACTTGTTTGTTTATACTTCGAGATTATATACGCCAAAAAAAAAAAATCAAAGATCAAGTAACGGGACAAAACATTTCGACAGTTATAAATGAAAAATCATGATTTAACTGTTATTTTAACTTCGATTTTGATGATTTTTTACAGCTACACTCCTTGACCCTATATGAATATTTAGATTCCTTCTCACTCAGTCAAGTTATGCTCTCTCTCCTCCCTGGCCCCAAACCATGCTCAGTACGGGGCAAAGTAAAGTTTCCCTACCGTGGGAAGCAGTAGCGAAGCCAAAATTTCATGTGTGTGGAGGCATCTTACAAATTATAAAAAATAAAAAATTCAAACTCGCAATATATACGAAAAATAGTATATATATATATATATGTCACATATGTCAAGAACTATATTGCTTATCAATTGCAATTATAATTATCCTCGACAAAAAGATAGACAAATACATTATAATCAAGAAAAATTGCAAGAGATAGACAAAGAGTAGCAATTTAGCAAATATCTTTAAAACTTTTTCCCCCGAGAAGAGAAATTATAGAATGGTACCGTATCTCCATTAGACCCTATAGAATGAAAAAAAATCAAAATTTCACAAACTTTAAAATAAAAATAAATAATAAAAAAAAAAACCTTAGGTTCCTTCATGCATTCATAACATACATGAAAAAATGGTTTTACGAAATAATCATTTTATCAAGATAATTTTTAGCGGCTTTTATTCTTTACACATCATATAAGAAAACTTGATTTTATGGGAATTTAGTATGAAATATATATTGACTTAACAAGCCATCATTTTTAGCCTAAATCCTATTTTTCACTAAAACCGATTTTTCATATTTCGATTTAATGGGAATTTGATTTTTTAGTATTTTTTTATTTGAATTCAATTTAACAATTTGCCCCCTCCGTTAGCCAGACTGTTAATTAGTCTTTTAAATATTGGCGGTCAAAAGTGGGATCCCTTTTTTTGATGATGTGGACTTTCACGTGGACTAAAAATTAATAAAAAAAAATTATTTTAAATTATTTTAGAAAATCTCTCTCTCTCTCTCTTCCTCCATAGCCTCTACAACCAAACCCTGAATTCCAATTGCTTCCAGAATGCGCCTAGCAAGCTGAATGTCCTTGGGCATGATTGTCACCCTCTTGGCATGGATGGCGCACAGGTTGGTGTCCTTGAACAAACCCACCAAATAGGCCTTTGTAGCTTCCTAAAGTGCAAGCACATCATAACTCTGGAACATGAGGTCGGTCTTGAAGTCTTGAGCAATTTCACGAACCAGGCGTTGGAAAGGTAGCTTGCGAATCAGAACTCAATAGCCACCATTCCCCCACCCCAAAACCAAGCAGCCCCCCACAACCCAGCTCACCTACCATGCTAACCCCCATCCTCCTCATATGCCAACCCAGCCACCCCAACCGATCCATCTTTCTTGCTTGACAAATCAAATTCCTCAAAGCACAACAAATTCATTTGCTCAGCTCTCGTAGATCTCCTTCAGTTCCATACATGACAAGAAAAAATGGAAAAAGAAAAAAAAAAGGAACAGATCTATCTTCATTCCTTGGGTACACGAGATTAGTAAAATAAATAATAATTAAAGAAAAACTCAATCCAGCCCCCTTCTCTCCCCTTCATCTTTCTCCACAAACTCCAACGCGCATCCCCACCACTTCCGCCACCACCTCCTCCAGATCCAAACGCTCTCTCTCTCTCTCTCTCTCTCTCTCTCTCTCTCTCTCTCTCCAGCTACAGTCCCAATCTTCATATCCTAGCTTTACAACCCACACCATATTCGAGCCCCACCACCATCAGTCTCCCCCAATGCCTTATCTATCTCTCTTTTCAACCCCCACGACCACACAATGGGTGCGGTGACATAACTCACGTTCTGAGATGGCGAAGACAGCGGCTATAAAGATGATGGTGACGACGAGGACGAGGAAAATGATACCGGTTTTGCTGGTTTCCTATTTCCCAATACAATCACAGACAAATTTGGGATTGGTTGTTAATCACATACATGAATTTCTAGAATAATTGTGGTTAATTAAATCTGGGTAGAGGAAGAAATCTAGGGTTGAAGAAATCTGGGGGAAAGAAATTGGGAAGAAGGGGAAAGAAATCGAGAGAGAGAATCTGGGTATGTTTTTTTTTTTAATATTGATTTATTTATTAAAATTTTATATACATATGTTTAATTTATTAAAATTTAAATTGATTTATTATTAATTTTTTGTCCACGTGGAACCCAACGTCAATTAAAAAATGGGTCCCACAAATGCTACGTAGGCAGATAACGGATTTTCTAACGATTTGGCTAATGGAGGGGGCAAATTGTATGGTTTTCGCGACGTTAAGTATGTACTGGTAAATGTCCCCAAAATCGGATATGAACTCGTAAATGACCGTATAGGTTGGGGGGTTTACTGTAGTTTGTCTTAAAAGTTTTGATCAAGTGCACCACCGACTAGGAGTGAGCACGGTCTAGTTCGGTTCGGTTCTCACCTCAAATCGAAACCATAACAGATATTATTTAACTGGTCCAGTTTAAGCAAAAAAAATTTAGAAACTGGCTGGTTTGGTTCTGATAAATTTCAATCCGGTTCATACCAGTTTCGATTTTGAACCAGATTATTTATTTTATTTTATTTTAAATTTTTGTCCAGATTTTTATTTTTATTTTTCAAAAATAAAAATTATTATAAATAAGTTATTTTTTTGGCTTAAAAATTAACAAATGATCCAATTCATACAATGAGAAATTTTTTGAAGTTGAACTTGGAAAAATATTAATTATAAAATTAAAATTATAGCAATGGATTTAAAAATTTGTATAAAAAAAAAACACAACTAGTCCGGTCCAGTTTGATGTGATGTGAAACTGAAATCAAAACCGGTTGGAATTGGTTCAGCCCGGTTTTTTTGTAATAAAATAAAATAAAAAACTACAACCAGTCCGGTTCAGTTTGGTGACATGTAAAACTGGAACAGGAACTTATTAGAATCGGTTCGGTCTAGTTTCAATCCGATTTGTTGACTTTTCTTGTCAACCAATTTTTTTATGGTTTTTTTTTCTAGTCCGGTTTGGTGTTCACGTTTTCCGGTCCCGATGCCCACCCCTACCGCTAACTAAGGAATATTTGCGACCAACCAGTCTTCATATATTTTCTTTTTCTTTTTTAAATCAATGTTTGTACGGGTAATTTGTACATTTTTTATTTTTTATTTTGGAATTTGAAAGAAAAATATCATTTAATTGGAGCTTAATCAAGAAAGATCAACATGAAATTTGGAATAAAATAGCCAAATATCAAATTTGGTAACTACATTTGATTCTATAAATTAACTTGTTCGAACTATAAATTTAAGGATAATTTACCACAAGGGTAGTGATTGGGGTGTCTTGGCTCGAGATTCAAGTTTGTGGGTTCAAATGTTCAAGGTCCTTATTGAGAAGCACTCATCAAACAAGCATGTCAAGTGTCCCTCGTCATAAAGCGTTTTCACCT